TCAGTTTTAGAATCTATCATTCATGAAATGAAAGGGGAAATTTCATCTTTGGCAATCTTTATTTGTTTTATGAATCTGCACTGTTTTTGCATCAACATATAAAATTAAATTTCTAAACTGATGTATCAAATGTGATAATGGTCACCCATGGTGGACACTGTTTGGTGGAGCTCCCCGATCAAAACAAGCTTGGAAGCAGGAGGGGCATCCACTTCTGAAATAGCTTGACTCCAGAAACCCTATGAACCTGAAGATGAAAGTTATAGAAGTGTTCAGGTCTTTCATTCATAGGGTTGCTATGAGTTGTCTACAACTCAACAGCACTTAACAAAATACAACAACAAAAGTATATAAAGTGAATGAAAATATTAGGGATATCATGATCAAACCATGTTTTACAAAGTAAAATTTGCATTTCACAAGTTTGATGAAGATAATAGCTAGAAACAATCTTTTGTGGTGTGTTTGTTTTTGGTGTTTTAAACACTGAACTTTTTTTTCCCCTGGGATACCATTTTATAGCACAAGTTTTATAGAGAACGGAATAACATGTTTTGCTGTACTGTACTCAATTTGGTAGAGCCCTGGCTTGGACTACTCCTTTTAGGTATCAGTTGAGGTTTCACACTTTGCCAAGTAGCACGTTCTCCACTGCTCTGGTTACTTGCTCAGCACTGAAGTTGTTCAAAGAGACATTCTTCTCTTGGCCAAATGCATAGTGGGCCCAGAGCTTAGGTTGTACACCGGAGCACTCGCGTAGGTCACAATTCGCCTTTTTCAGCTCCACATACTTTTTCTCTATGAAGTCCCTGACGCCCTGGCTGCCAACTGAGCATTGACATAAGTGGATGCGAATCTCCCGCAAGGCTAGTTTTACCTGGCTCCCCCGAACTGCAGCCACCGCCGCCGCCATTTCCACTACAGAAGCCCCCAACACGGAACTATTTTGAAAACTTGATTGTTAGGTTTTTCATTTTTCTTATTTCCTTTTGCAATTCTTTTTTTTCCCAAGTATTTGTTCAGTTTTGAAATAATTGTAGACTCACATACTTTTTTAGTTTTTCTTTAAAGCCCCCTGATGTTATTTTAAAAGGGAGCTCTGGTGGCATAGCCCAAACGTGGTGCCTCTCTGGCCATTCAAATCCACCACAGGCCCCTTGGGAGAAAGGTGGGCAATCTCCTCCTGCGTAATTTTTAGCCTCCCAAAACCTGCTGGAGGGGCAGAGAGGAATTTTTCCAATTCAATGGCAATGACATTGTCTGAGTGAGACATTAAATAGAATTAATTGTAGGACTTAAAAATCCTATATGTCTTTCAAATTATCCTGTCATAGAAATAAACTCTTGTCCTTATAGTAAGTTCAAGTACTTTGAAAAACTAGCTACGACAGGAACTACGTCTATGTTCAGTAATCCTTTCCAATCTTTCAGGAATTAAGCTGAGAACAAGTTTTGCCAGTGGAATGTGAGTGAAAATGGTACATGTGCATAACATCGAGACTTGGTCATAACTGGCCACAATTCTCCCTTCCCGTTCTGCAGTTGTCTTCAGACTCATTGCTGCAGAGTTGGAACAGACTCACAATGACTCTCCATTGGATTTCTGAGACTGCAAATTGAACTGGAAGAGATTGGCCCATCTTTCTCCCAAGAAATGGTTTATGGAATTCATGTACATTTGGATTAGCATTGCAATACCCTGCAGACTAGACCCTTTGTTGTGGTTGTTGAGTGTGACTCATAGCAACCCTATGATAGAGCTGAACCTTGGCATACCCTGTACCAACCTTATTGTCTCTGATATACTTGAGCCTACTGCTACTGTGACTATGTCAATCCTTCCCATTGAAAGTCCTTCTCTCTTTTGCAGACCCTCTGCCTTTCCAAGGATGATGCCCTTTTCCAAGGACTGGTCCTTCTGAATAATATGAGATGAAACTCTGCTATCCTTGCCTCTAAGGGGCATCTAACAGTACATTTTCCAAGACATAGGTGTTTGTCCTTTTTGCAGTTGACAGGATATTCAGTATTCTTCTCTAACACCACAACTCAGTAGCCATATATTTAAAATAAGAAATTCTTCAAATCACCAAAATGTGAATCCCCAAGTCACCACTTTGAAGAGCACTTTTAAAAAAAATTTTACTGAAAGTTTACAGAGATTTTGGATTGCCATTCATTCATTGTTGCACTTGGAGAGCACTTATAAGGAGGGCTTTTCAACTCCCACTGAACTAGGATGTAACCAAGAAGCTATCCTTTATTGTGTTAAGCTATTGATATTCTAGGGTTTAAAAGATGTCCTACTTTATCACATTTAACATAATAACTTATAAAGGGAAAATATTTTTCCCAGGAAAATGAAATTTCTTCTTAGAAATTAGCCTAAGCAATTTGAGATTCACATACTTGTTTAGCTCAAGACTTCCTCTACACTAGAAATAAACAAACCAACCCAAACAACTATACAGACATTAGCTCAAGAATTAAATTTTATCAAATTCCGATCATGCTGCTTCTATATTAAAAACCTTATAAAGGGTCCATAGCAACCCAGAATTTAGTTAGAGTCTTTAAAAATTGACCCCAAAATGCCAAACTTTAATGCATTCAAGACATCATATATGCCACTTGATAAAACCTGGTCACCTAAGAAATACTATTTTATTTTTCCTTCATTTTTGTTTTGAAGAGTTGCAGGCTAGGAAATTTACAGACATCTGATAGAGTTGTAGGGAAAAGAGAAGGAGAAAGTAAAGGATCAGTAGGAAAAATAATTGGGTTGGAATGAAGAATGAGAGTGGAAAGTGAGATTGTTGCTATTATGTGCCCTCAAGTCAGAACTGATCCTCCAGTGAGATTTTAGAGTCTGTAAATCTCAAAAGAGGGCATATTTCAGCTTTGGAGGAGCAACTGGATTTGAACTGCCGGCCTTTGGGTTGGCAGTACAAATTCTTACCACTAGATCATTGCATAAGTCAATCTGATTTCTATGGAACTCATTAGGTGAAGTCCATGTGTAAAGTCACCTTTTATGTATTTTAAAAGAGGTATTTGCTATGAATAAGTTATTGAATGTACAAAATTCAATCCTATGACCTCCAGCCTCATTTCTGTCACCAAGATCATACTTTACAACTGACCTTTCATCTTCATTGCTTCTGACTTTTGCATTCCACTCACTAATAATTATTAGTGCATCTTGATTGTATGTCTGGTCAATTTTGGACCACAAAAGTTGGTATAAATCCTCAATCTCCTCTTCTTTGGCTTTAGTTGTTGGTACTTATGTTTGTAAAATAGTCATATTAACATTTGACGCTCTCTCTCATATACTTTGGGCCCATCACCAGGAGGGACTGGTCTTTAGAGAAGGACATTGTGCTTGGACGGGTGTCAGCACAGAAGATGATGATCCTGGAGAAGATGGATTGACATAGTGACTGTGGCAATGGGGTCAAGTGTGTAAGAAATGGTGAGGTTGGCTCAGGATAGGGCAAAGTTCAGAGTCATTGTTCATAGGGTCTCTATGAGTCATAGTAGACTTGATGGTACATAATAACAACATATTACCAGGTCTTCCTTGTATGCATATGGATCATATCCTATCACTCTACTTTAGGATAGCTCTTGAAATTGTCTTTTAAACCATGAATGAAACACTACTCTTTCTCAGTTTTCATTCCCAGGATAGAAGATCATATGATAATCTGATTCAAAGTGGCCCACGGCAGTCCGTTTCAGCTCACTAGTGCCTAGAATGTCAATTTTCATGTGTTCCGCTTCATTTTTTTACAATGTCCAGTATTCCTCCATTTATGCTTCATACATTCCACACGCCAATTATTAATGATTGTTTGCAGCTGTTTCACCTCATTTTGAGTGACTTCCCCTCTGGTCTCTATGTCTAACACTAGAGCTACCTGTGTTCCTCTGTTGTTCATAAGATTTTTCAGAGGCCTGTTATTTCAGAATTGGATAGCCAATTCTGCCTCGTTCATCTTAATCCAGGAGTTTCACAAAACCTGTCCATCACTGGTGACCCTTCTGGCATTTGAAACACTGGTGGCATCGCTTCCAGCATCACAGCAACCCCCAAGTTATGCCAGTACAGCAAACTGACAGACAAGTGCTGTACTGATAAGAGCAAATGATGAACAAGCAAGTATTTATATACCTAATATAAAAATTAGCAACAAACTAATCACTCACTAGACTACCAGAACTTCTGAAAGTGAGATTACACCTCACCTTTTGCTTTATCATTACGATTACTACCTCCTTTTTCTACTCAGAGCCCTTAGAAAAGGTGAGAAAGAGTAGACTTGCTAATATTTATGGGCAGTGTTTGAGCTCAAGTAGTTCACAACATACTACGATGAAAGTATGTGCATCAACTTGGAAAAAAAAATTCAACCCCAATGCTTTTGAGTTGGTTATGACTTATACTGACTCTCCTTGTGGTATCCAAGGCTGTATATTTTTACAAGAAGAGAATACCCATCTTTCTTCCATTGAGCAGGTAGTGACTTCAAAGATCTTTCAGTTAGCAGGCAGATATATCTCACAGTTTAACAAAATTATGATGGGAAACCAGCCCATTACTCCTTATTATTACATAGACAGTAATTGTAAGATAAATATTAGCCATTAGTTTTCCTTCAATCTCTATGCTTACTCTTAACTAAAAAAGTCTAATGGATGGATGAGAGGGTAAAGGAATAGGCAAGGTGCAATTGAGATGTGAAGAGACAGGGTGATAAAAGGCATCGATCAATAAAAATAAATATATAAAACACAATGTATATGAATGATTACCTTACGTACAATGTACATGAATCAATGTACAAGAATTATTTTAAAATGTCTACTGTTCATTTAAGCTTAAATCTGATTTTCCTTTAATGTATCTATGTTGTAAATCATTGAGTTTCAACTTATAGTACCACGTCATCGATGTTAGTCAGTTTTATTATTTTACGATCCTTTATGGTACTAACCTTAGTTTCTGCGATTTTCTTTTGGATGGCATCCACCGTGTAGGGACCCTCCTTCCACAACTCCAACTTGGCTCTGGCCTGTCCCACAACCTGCTCAGCTTCCTCCTTTGCTTCCAGCCACTGAGTTGAATCCTTTAACATCTCATTCAGCTGTTGTCTCCGGCTCTGGAGGTGTTCCTGCACTTCATCCCACTGACTCTGAATTCTTTCAACTGGAAAATAAGACACAAAATGAGTAGATGGTAGGAAATGCAAAGAGTAGTGATATCATTTGAAATGCCAAATCCCTGTGTTTTCTCACATTTTATATCACTCGTTAAAAACCATAGCTCACTGTGTTACAGTTTCAACGATGGACAATAGGATTCTTGATTTTTTTCCCCCGGATAGCAAACATGTGTACCTGTTAAACTGCCTTCAAGGTGACCGAGAACATAAGCATTATATCTAAAAATATATCTTTGTCTATTCATGATCCTGAGATAGAAACAGAAATGAATCATCTTTTCAGAAAGGTTCTGTAGCATAATGTCCACATCCCCTTGCTCTTACGACTCCGGTGCCTAACAGCGTGACTGCCAACTGCCAGCAATCATATTTGTTTTCTCAGGACTTTCTGATGTCACCAGGACTTACTACTTGAGCAACAAACTAGAAGTCACAGGGACTATTTTTGCCACTCCCTTGCAGCCAGGAGTAGCCAGTAATTTATTACTGATGGGAACTTGGGTGTAAATATCCAAGCTCTATTGAACCTAGGAAAGAAAACTGATGTTTCCGAGGGTTTCCAAGGTCTCCTTATGGAATCATGCTTCGAGTTTAAAATTGGATGCGTTGGGTTCACGGAAACCTGAGATCTGTAGAGAGGCCCTAACTCTATTTGTGTTTTTGATATGGCCTCAGATGCCGTTTGAAGGCTTTCTAACTTCACCTTCAGGGGGGAAAAGGATACAGTTCAAAGCGGAGCTCTGATGGCTTAGTGTTGTGCTGTTAAAGGAAAAGTCAGCAGTTTGAATGCACTGGTTCTCCTACTTAGGAGTGGGAGAAAGACGGGCAGTCTCCGCCTGTATAGATTTAAGATCTTGGAAATCCAGTGGAGAATTGCCAAGAGTCAGACTCCACTCAGCTATAGCAATGGTGGTGGGTGTGGGAAATGTCTTGTTTGGATGACCAAGAAACATCTTTAATAATTATTCCCAGGATCTAGCCCCCAACAGTACTCTGAATCTTATACATAAGAGTCATTGTTATGATTGACTAGAACACCCTTCAGTGCCACCCTGATGACTTCTTTCATTCTGAAGTGATTTTTCTGTCTCTGTCCCATTTTGATCTTCACAGAAGCATCTCTGTAGAGTACACTTGAATCTCGGGTGTCTTTTCTCCCTTTAAAACAGAGTGAAGTGCTAGTGGCCCACTGTGGTGACTTGCTTGTTAAAAATTCTTCACTGACTCCCTTGTCTTGCTTCCCCCTCCTTCCTATCTCACTTCCCTCCACACTGCTGATGTTTAATTCACTTGCCAAATAAACCACAAGCATTAAAAACATTTCCCAGTGTCTTCTAGGGAAGCCAAGAGCAGATGGGTATATTAGAAGCCTCTTGCAGCAGAATCTTTAGCATCTATACTGTGTCTATTTTGTAAGCAGGACTGACGAATATTGCAGGGCTTTTTTGGTATCTTGGGAGTCTAATCTGACTGTTTTATAATTTGTGGTCTCAGTGATTTATTTCAGAATAGAGGAAATAAACAGAAACACATTCTTTGTCTCAGGAACTTTTGTGTCAGCCAGTTTTGTGAAAGGAAAATAATGTCAGAGAAAACAAGTAATAAAATCACCATCTACCTCATCCCTTAAGTGACAAACCTGACAGATATTCTGGATTGTTCTGAAAGCTTCATCCAATACCATATGTAGTAAGTTATTCTAGTCTCTCATAAACACTTATTGCCTTCTCTCATTGCCACGGCAAAGCACTATCATTTCCTGCCTACGTTTTTCTGGTCGCCTGTATTTTGTACCTATAAGCCCCTTACTTTAATTCTGTTTTCCTACGTAACTTATGTACTGTGGACAGAAAAGTAATAAAAATCTTAGCATTCTACTCCCTAATTTAAACCCCTTGTCTTACTCATCTCCTGAAACATCTTAGTTTGACATATATGTTCCTGTGTGATCAGCTCTAGTTTATGGGAGAAGTTTCTTTACAAAGGAACAAATGATAACAAAAGCAAGGGTAGAGTATAGGAAAACCACTAAAGAAAATGCAAGACGTTGAATGCAAGTAGTGGAGTTATTACTACATCTAGGCCCAAGGGGTGATGGGGAAGAGAAGTGGCCACAAGCAGGGACTCGAGAGGGAGGAGTAACCGCTTTGAGAAGGGCAGTTGCCTTTGTTTGAAGGACACAGCCAGCTCCAAGCAACCCCACAGGGAAGAAACTGTTGTTGTTGGGAACCTTGGTATAAACTCAGATTCATGGCAACCTTATATACATCAATCAGGTTCAAACTGTACCCTGTTCTCTATCATCTTCACCATTTCCGCTGTGCTTACGTCCACAGGTACAGTCACTCTGCCCACCTATCTCACTGAGGCTCTTCCTTTCCTTTGGTGACCACCTACTTTCTCCAGCATGATGCATTTTCCCAAAGACTAGAGCCTCTTGACAACATGTCCAAAACATGTGAGATAAAGTCTCACTACTCTTTCCTCCAAGGAATACTCTGGTTGCATTTCCTTCAAGACAGATTTCTTTGTTCTTTTGGCAGTCCATGGACATGTATAATTCAGTACTCTTCACTAATACTACTCTTCATTGACATTGCTTTATTTTTATTCTCTTTGTTGCACATGAAGAAACTGACACCACCGTGACTTGGCTCCGGTGTGCCATAGTCTTTACACTGACATCCTTGCTCTTTAGCATTTAAAAGAGGGAGGGAACTAGGATATATTATATATCTTTATCACACTCCCCCCTTTCTCTTTTTCAGTTGTTTATTAGGACTCCACCCTGGCAACACTAACTGAAATATAGAACCCAGTGATGGTACAAGTCAGCCTCTCAGAGCAGAGAACAGTAATAAATGAGCACAAAGACTGGCTATAGAGTGATAAACCAAAATGCACACAGCACACTACCATAGGCTGTTGCTTTGTTTCAGGGTTTGAATTTCGTTTTTCTTAAGACTAAATCTGTTGCTGTCTCCATAAAGTTCTAAGAAGTTATGCATTACATGAATACTTGAAATATTTTATAAATAAGCATTAGAACTAGATAGACACTATGTGACTAGTAAGAAGTTAAGAATTTGGTCCCCCGAAATAGTTAAAACCAAGTAAGTGGCACTTACTCTAGCGTTCTTTTTATCAGGTTTATTTCTGTTGCGATGCTTGCTATACGTTGGGAAAAAAAAATCAGTCATAATACTATATGATCCAACTTCAGTTAACATGTCAAGTTGTGTTGAAATGTCAGCCTCCTTCTACACTTTGAACGCCTCTGTTTTTAAATTCTTCATTGCTTTCGTTGCCCATTGGCTAGTGGAATTCCTATCACTAGGAGCTTTACTGATTCACTGTCTATATAATAATTAATTTAACAAATTATAGTTGTTGAAAATAGAAAAGTACCTTTAAGCATTCTGAAGTATTTTCCATATCATAAAAGTAAGTGATAGTCAAATTACAAATCCATTTTTCCACTCATTGAAGATTCCTTTAGTAGCACACTTGCTACTTTCTTTATTAGCCTATTATTATGTACCACAAGCACTTGGAAAGAATAAAATTGACTTTCTCTGAAAATAGTCTGAATCCATTTTGCCTTCACCCTAATTAGCCTTAATCAGTAACATTTTACTATGCTAGCAACATTTCTAGGAAGCCTAGTGTTTTCAACACACACAGTACACTGTTTGAACTCATGCCACGAGGTATTCTGAACATTCTACAGTTCATCTCATTAGGGTAGACAGCCTGTATTTTAAAAAGGTCATCACTTCACGTTGAGAAGAAGTAAAATAGTCCTTCCCATTACATGCTTAGAGATTGCTTAATTGAGGTAAAGAAGGGAACTTTTTATAAGCAGGATCATGATTGCAGACAAATAAAACCATTTGCATGCTTGTTCGCTAACAATGGAAGACTTCAGCCAAAAGTGGTCAGATGTGTGTAATGTTGCAATGCAAAATGGTTGACTGGGGTATACAGCGCATTGATGGTGTGGTTTCTTATTCCTGATTCTTAACTGTATACTATTACCAGATAATAGTTATTTACTAATGAGTTAGAAGTGAGTCACAGCAGACTGTCCAGCAGGTTTTCTGAGGCTGTAAATCACATGGGAGACTTCCCACCTTTCTCCTGTGAAGTAGCTGGTGGACTTCAACTGCGTGTTTTTGGGCTGGCAGCATAACTCCTTGTCACTAGGACATCGGGTAATAATGGATTAAATAAATGTGCAGGCTAAAAGCGTCATTCCAAAATTCCACCCACCTTTCCATGCACCGACAACCATTATGTAGCCTTCCACCCATCTAGCCAGCCAGTCTACATTGTATTTAGCATTTCCTAGGTACTGGCCATTTTGCTAAGAACTGGGGGAGCAAAGACAAATTCTAAAGCTTCTAGTTTTGTTGCCCCTTACACTGTGATGCTTTCACTTTCTTTGCAGAGAATACCAGATGGGTAGTACTAGAGAAAAGATAATGAACTCAATATTGTATCTATTTATTCATCAGCATGTTTAGAGCATCTCTTTCACAGGACTATCACTTTAGATAGTTGGACTGAAATATCCAGAACAAAGCTGAGTGTTTTGAATAAGAGAGACAGAAACAGAGTGAGACATAGAGAATTTCTTAAATTGCCATGTAAAAGTAGAAACTGAGGTCATTAATGTGAACACATTCTCATTGGATAGGAATAGAGAACTGAGGATAGAGGGTCCTGGAAAATACAATCTATAAAGAAGGAATAAAAATCACTAGTAAAAATGAGTAAAAAGACAGAGAGTGGTACTTGGTTGTTGTTGTGTATCATTGATTTGGAACCCACCCAGAGCTGACCCAGCAGTGGGTTTTCAGAGACAGTAAATCTCATGGGAGGAGATTGTCCATCATTCTCCTGTGGAGCAGCTGGTGGATTCGAACGGTGTGCCGTTGGCATTGCAGTGCAGCTTTTTACCACTAGGCCACTAGTGCGCCAT